CGGACTGCTGAAGGTGGGGTTGCATGCATGCTGGGTATGCAGCGTTGCATCCGCTCTGCTAGAGGCTGTCAACCGGTTGTCAGACACACACGGATGGCAGCAAAGCAGGCGCCTTGCATGTCGTGTCATAGGAAGTGCGTTGCAACGGTACTGGTGCTGCCGCGGCTTCGCCGGCAGTACGCTTGCGCTCGCGGTTCCGGAGCGATGTCGCGCGTCTGGGGCTGCGTTTTGGTTTGCCACGCCTACGGGTGTTGGTTCGTTTCCGTGCTAGTGTGCCTTTTTGCCAAACTGGTTGGGGGTCAGCACGTGCCGCGTTGGGCGACAGAGGTGGTAGGCTCGGCTATGATTGCGTAGTTTTCGTGCTCCGTGAAGTTGCAGAACGGTCATGCTGCGCGTGTCGTGGAGGGGTGTGCAGGGCATGAGGTGTTGGAGCGAGGCGTTGCGGCAGCGGAGCGCAGCCGTTCGCTATGCCGGTAGGGGTAGACTGCCACTGTTGCTGCTGCGGTGCGTTGTTGGTTGCATCCAGCAAGGAGGCGGTGTAGGCAGGTGGTTGGGTGGGTGTTCGTAGGCAGCTTGGATAGAGCGGGAAAGTCCTGGCGTATCGGTGCTGATTGCTATGAGTGCCTTGCCGTAGCACGCCGGACTGCTGAAGGTGGGGTTGCATGCATGCTGGGTATGCAGCGTTGCTGCTGCTTCGCTAGAGGCTGTTCACCGGTTGTCAGACACACAACGATGGCAGCAAAGCAGGCGCCTTGCATGTGTTGTCATAGGGAGTGCGTTGCAACAGTAGTGGTGCTGCCGCGGCTTCGCCGGCAGCACGATTGCGCTCGCGGTTCCGGAGTGATGTCGCGGGTCTAGGGCTGCGTTTTGGTTTGCCACGCGTACGGGTGTTGGTTCGTTTCCGTGCTAGTGCGCCTTTTTGCCAAACTGGTTGGGGGTCAGCACGTGCCGCGTTGGGCGACAGATGTCGTAGGCTCGGCTATGATTGCTTAGTTTTCGTGCTGCGTGGAGTTGCAGAACGGCCATGCTGCGCGTGCCGTGGAGTCGTGTGCAGGGCACGAGGTGTTGGAGCGAGGCGTTGCGGCAGCGGAGCGCAGCCGTTCGCTATGCCGGTAGGGGTAGACTGCCACTGTTGCTGCTGTGCGTTGTTGGTTGCATCCAGCAAGGAGGCGGTGTAGGCAGGTGGTTGGGTGAGTGTTCGTAGGCAGCTTGGATAGAGCGGGCAAGTCCTGGCGTATCGGTGCTGTTTGCTGTGAGTGCCTTGCCGTAGCACGTCGGACTGCTGAAGGTGGGGTTGCATGCATGCTGGTTATGCAGCGTTGCATCCGCTTCGCTAGAGGCTGTCAACCGGTTGTCAGACACACACGGATGGCAGCAAAGCAGGCGCCTTGCATGTCGTGTCATAGGAAGTGCGTTGCAACGGTACTGGTCCTGCCGCGGCTTCGCCGGCAGCACGCTTGCGCTCGCGGTTCCGGAGCGATGTCGCGCGTCTGGGGCTGCGTTTTGGTTTGCCACGCCTACGGGTGTTGGTTCGTTTCCGTGCTAGTGTGCCTTTTTGCCAAACACGTTGAGGGTCAGCACGTGCCGCGTTGGGCGACAGAGGTGGTAGGCTCGGCTATGATTGCGTAGTTTTCGTGCTCCGTGGAGTTGCAGAACGGTCATGCTGCGCGTGCCGTGGAGGGGTGTGCAGGGCATGAGGTGTTGGAGCGAGGGGC